AAAAAAAAAAAAAAAAAAAAAAAAAAAAAAAAAAAAAAGAAAAAAAAGAAGAGGAAAAAGGACTTTAATTGAAGCCTGCAATGTTGTATAAATGGAAGATCTAAGTTTTAATTGAAAAATAATTATAACCACTTAATCATTTTAAATGAGGGCTGTAATTGCAGTCAGTTCATAATAGCCAAATACAGACACTTAGATTCCCGCAATAAAGCAGGGATGGTACAGCTTGATTTGCTAATAGCTCTTCCACTTCTCTCCTCTTTTGTCTCAAAGATTAATTCAGGCAAGGGCTATTAGTGCCGTTAATTGGTTCTGCAATTTAGACCTTGTGCTGGTGAATGAGTGAGTGATGCAGACCCATCAGCCAATAATGTGAACACTTTGTCAATGTGTTGCTCATTGTCCAGCTCCTCAGAAGTCCCCCAGTGGCTCCTCCGCCACCCAAGCCCGGCTCCCGTGGGGGATCAGGAGGAGCGGGGCTCCTCGGGGGTGAGGGATTCACTTAGCTTTAGATAGGTCACCCAGATGTCTTTGAAATCATTGCTGGCTTATGAATAAAATAATTAGGCAGCTGAGGCATCCTCCTTGGCAGGGACAAATCCTGTCTGTATTCAGGAGGAATCTTCCCCTCTGTGCTAGAAGAAGGAGGTTCAGTGAGGTTGTGAGGGGTTCCCTTCCTTCAGGCAGCAGCACAAGTAAAGCCAGTCTAAATCAGTAAAGTCACAGAGAACCACACAAACTCGACTTTTATCAGCTGTTATTTGCCACAGCATCAGTGATGGGCAGGGGCACAGCTGGGGGGCACAGCTGACAGGCCTGAAGTGCCAGGGCAGGGTTAGGATGGATCTCAGGAAAAGGTTCTTCCCCCAGAGGGTGGTTGGCACTGAACAGGCTCCCCAGGGCAGTGGGCACAGCCCCAAGGCTGCCAGAGCTGCAGGAGGGTTTGGATGATCCTCTGGGGCACAGGGGGTGACTGTGCAGGGCTGAGGGTTAGACTGGATGATCCCTATAGGTCCCTCCCAGCTCTGCATATTCTGGAATTCTGTGACTTGGAACAGCCTTTGGTCTCATTCCTTAGCAAGAACGCGCAGGGAAGGCTTTGCCCTTGCCATGTCCACATTGTGGGAGATAACTGACAAGAGAAGGTGCTCTCACACCAAGTTTAGGTGGTCGGAGCAGTTCAGTCCTTGGTTATTTTCACCGTGAGATGTTCTCAGTGGAGAATACTCTCCTTTTGGTTACAGTTAGGAACTTTTTGCCTGGGAATGATGCTACTCACACACTCATCTGGCTGCTGTGAATTGGCAAGAGTCCTTGAAGTAAATGGATTGATGATTTGGACAAGATCTGTCCCTTTGCAGCACCTCCCACTGCGGGACCAATGTGCACCAAATGGAGCTGATGGAATACAAGGAGAATTTCTCCTTTGAGGTAATTTATTGAGCACAATCCTTGGCTGCCAGGAGTCTTTTCCATCTCCAGGTGAGTTGTGACAAACACAGGGAGTGTGTTTGTGCTCTGGCCTCGGGCTCTATGTTTGGCTCTGTGATACTGGGAACGCTTTCCGTGATTAAGCTCTGTTGACCGATACTGACTGTAATGAACAGTCCCAACACGGGCTGAGGTGTGTCACCAGCACTGGTATCGCTGTGCCCAAAAAAAAACACGGGGAGGGAGAGTGGATTAGGAAAGCACATGAATCACCAACACTGCTCTTTTGGGGAAAATGAGGAAAGTGGGGTAACGTTATGTTTGAACCCGAGGACTGTTGGTGACACATATGGAGCTGTCTTTTCCCTGCTTGGTGTTTAATTTTGGGCACTAATTTCATGAATGATGTGCAACAAACTTGAGTATTAGGCAGAACATTTTCAGAATTGATAATTGAGGGCCTGGCATAAATAATCTTAAGTGAGAGTGACATCTCCTTCATGGGTACTCTCTGATGACTGGTCAGAGCTTCAGGAATAGCGTTGCTCTGCTTTGGGTGTGGCAATGGACTGGATGACTTCCCAAGGTCCCTTCCAGCTTGCTTGGTTCTCTCAAAAAAGATGCAGAGCCAAAATAACCTCTGGGAGCCAATCACGGTGTTCCCACAAAAGGTTTGATCTTCAGAAGCAGCTTCACAAGGAAGTCCTGGAGACACTTCAGACCAAGCATCTGGGAGAAACCCTTGAGCAACGGGGAGTATCACCAGATGACAGTGGCCACTTCTCCATGCTCCCTTATGACTTTCCAATTCCACCACCAGAATGTCGGCCCACTGAGCTCCACTTCTTCAGAAGGTCCCTTCTTGAACCCTCCACGAGGCGAGTGTGGCACTGCTGAATCAGGGCTCACCATCTGCTCCTTCCCACGGGGAGCACCTCTCCTGCACATTCCCCTTTACCCTCCAACTCAAGCAGGTACCAGCGGAAAACCAGGAAAGGAAGGGAGTTTTGAGGGATGGAGCAGAAAAGTCACTACTCAACACAGTGACTATCTGCACTGAGGCTAGGTCTCAGGGTGCTCTTGTCTTCCAGCAGGTCTGCCTTGCCCTCTTTTTTTGTCCATCTAAACAAGTCCCAACTCATATTTGGATGAGGGGTTTAAAGCAATAGTGAATGAGGATATACAGACTCTTCTATTTATTTACTGCCCTTGGTCCTCCCACAGCAAACTGCAGGTTCCCACCATTATCTCCTCAGCAACTTCTGCCTTTTCCACGTGCTCTCAGCCTGACCTCCCCACCAGCAAGGTCCACCCAAACACCAGTGCCTGCTCTTTGCTGTGTGACACCCTCTTTTACACACTAAGCGTGGCTGAAGTGCTTTGGTTGAGCAAACGTCCCCAGATAGAGGCACAGTCATAAACCATGGAATCATCCAGGTTGGAAAAGTCCTCCAAGATCATCAAGTCCGACCATTCCCCATCACTGCCGACCCACCACTAACCCCTGGCCCCAAGTGCCTCATCCACAGGGCTTTAAATCCCTCCAGGGATGAGGACTCCCCCACTGCCCTGGGGAGCTGTGCCACGGCTGGTTCAATCCCTGGATGAGCCCTTAACTTAAAAGTTGGGCTTTGAGGATCCTTGTGGGTCCCTTCCAACTCAGACTGTTCTGGGATTAAGTAAACCCTTTCCATGAAGAATTTTTTCCCAGTATCCAACCTAACCCTCTCCCCTCGGCTCAGAAGCATCATCCTTGCCAGGGAAGGATTAGGTTCTCCATAGTTTTTATCTGTTTCATCCGATATAGGCACCTCTGTGCTTGTTCTCCCAGAGCTCAGAGTTGCTCCTGCAGGATCTCTCTGGTGGTCGTTCTGGAGGGATCTGCTGGTTCTTGTGGGACCTGTGCTGGCTGCACCTCTTCCTGAAGGGAGAAGGTAAACAGAGAGCGAGGCGTTCATGTAACAAACTGCTCTTGGTACCGGGCGAGGGAAAATTATCTCACCAGAAACAAATAAAGGGAAGGGGAGGTTTGTGTGGTGCCAACCAGGCCTCTGCTGACTCCCTCCGTGACGTAGGCACTGCCTCCAGCTAAAAGCGCCTTGTGCCCTGGCTGCCTGCCGCATAACCAGCTGGCAGAGGCTCGTGCTCGCCCCGGACTCGCCCGTGGAGTGCCCAGCACCATGTCCGTCACCATCTGCCAGTCCATGGGCTTCGTGGTGTCAGCCCTGGGCATCGGGGGCATCATTGCATCAACCTGTATGGACCAGTGGAGCACCCAGGACCTGTACAACAACCCAGTGACCGCCGTGTTCAACTACCAGGGCCTGTGGCGCACCTGCGTCCGCGAGAGCTCCGGCTTCACGGAATGCCGCGGGTACTTCACCATCCTGGGGCTGCCAGGTAGGGCCTGCTGGTGGCTCAGAGGGCACAGGGGTGGGAGGGCACCTGCCAGAAGCTCCGTGAGAGTGGCTATAATGGGTGATTTTCAGTGTAGAACAGGAACCTCGAATTCCAGCCAAAAAGGATCTCAGGTGGTCCCCCTGTTTGAATAACAGGTCCCTTGCAGAGATCTCCACCCAACCTCCCCCTCCCATGGCCAAGCAACTTTGTCCTCGCCAGACTGGAGAGGTTCAGCAAAACTGACCACAACTGGTCCTGGACCATGTTCCTGAGGTGTTGTCCAGAGGCTGCTCCGTGGGGCGACTCATCCCCTGCGCCGTGGTGTGGATTCCTCCTAGAGAATTCCAGCTTCCCACCAGAAGCCACTAATGTTCTTGTCATTGGAGAAGATCCATTTCTAAGAGGATATGTCACAGTTCAGCTCACTATATTTCTGGATGGGCTAACACCACCAGGCTGGATTTTCCCCTAATTCTCCTTTGGTTCCAGTTTTTTTTCTTCCACGGGAATCGTTCCTGGGCTGGTTGTGCCCGTAGTATCTCGGGGTGCAAACAATTAGGTTACAACAGGATTATCTGGGGGTTTTTCTGTCCTTAATACACTGAGAAAAAAAAAGGCACTTAGACTGTTATACCCATCTGGCCTCTGTGCTTTGACAAAGTGAGAATGGAGGGAAGGGCTGGTGTCTGGTGTTGCTTGTGCTGCCACATCCCAGAGCAGGTGCCAGGGATGCATTTTCCTGGAAGGACACGGGCCTGATCCTGCCTGGACATCCAAACAAAGGTGTTTGTGCAGGGCTTGTGTTCCATCACAGTCAGCAAAGCTGAACAGCTTCCCCAAGGGAAAGCTCATGGAGGGGCAGGACAGGTTGGTAAAACTTGACTCCAGCAACTAATTACTGGTTTAATGGTAGGACTTGATGATCTTAGCGGTCTTTTCCAACCCTTATGGTTCTATAAAGAGATTAAAGTTGCCACATGAAGAATAAATTGAAGTTTAAAAACCAAATCCTCCCCGCACACAGATACACCCACAACACGCTGCAGAACTACCTCAATTCTGCTGCTCTAAAAGCTTAAAATGACAAAAAATGCGACTCCAAGGAAGAAGCAATTAAACTTTTCAAGTGTTCAGCTCTGGGAACTGCTTTAATCTTTGAGGAAACCAGATTGGTTGAGATTTGGGGGGTTTTGTTCTTTCCAAATACCTTTGTTGCTAAGCTCAGCATTACAGCAGAAAATAAAAAAGGGATTTTTTGACAATTCCCAAACCTCCAGACTGGTGTCTGTAGGGTAGGTGTTATTTTTCTAAAAAGGAAATATTGGATGTAGGAAATGTAGATTTCCTGCATGAGCACGATTTTACTGTTTGAGACAGGCTGTGGGAGTTCAGCCTGTCCATGTCCCTGCCCATGGCAGGGTGTTGGAATCAGATGGTCTTTAAGGTCCTTTCCAACCCAACCTTCCTGTGATTCCATGATTCTGTGATTCCTCACCTCCGTCCCACAAGCTCCATGGATCTCTCCCAGCCACGACAGAAATGAGCATCCTATCCTAAATTTTCCAGGATTTCCAGGGAAACCATCACCTTACAGTGAATTCCCAGGTGCTTGCCGTGTTTCTGCTGCCACCTACAAAAAGGGATTTAAAAGACCCCAAGAAAGAAATTTAGGAGACCCCAGAAAATAAATTTAAAATAAATCTAAAACTAAAGGTGGGTGGGTGCCTGAACCCCCCAAATTTACCATCTTCACCCTCAGGGCTGTTGGGAAGCTGTTCCCTCCCCTTGCTGTGTGAGAATATGAATATGTATGTGCTTTTTGTGACCGGTGTTCAGCTCTGCCCTGAGCAGAGCACACAAAATGAGGTGGAATTTTTTCCTTTCTTTTTAATGAATTCTTCAGAAGTCCCCCCCTTCCCTGCTCCCATTTCCCCTCCTGTTATATATTGTCTGACATTTCCCAGTCTCTGGAGAAGCCACCAACCCACTCTCTGTTTTATGGATTGGTTCCATCTCCCAAATCCAGCTGCTCTTAAAGGCATTTCTTCCCACCCACCACCAGCAAAGGCAAATTTTATCCCAACCAGAGTGGGGGGAAAATAAAGGTAAAAAAAAAAAATCCAATCATAATTTGTTCAGACATTATTTAAGAGCATCACCCCCATGTTTATTTTCACTTTGCTGCACCTTGCTCGCCATTAAACTCCCCTCTTCACCCACCCCATAGTTAATGGTTTGTCAGCATTTCCATTATAAACCCCTATTTATTATTCTGACAATGGCAATTTATATTGGGAACAATAGTGCCAGGGTGAATAAAAATAATAGGACTCTCACAAACAGCGAGGTGACCTGAGCACATGGAGGAAGTTTTGCTTTCCCAGAGGTTTTTTTTGCCTCAATCCCTCGCCCCCATAGCAAAGACTAAACCTGTCTTGCCCATCATCTATCTTCAATTTGGTTGGGAATTTTAATTTCAAATAGATGGGGGAAAAATCAAGATAATAGATGAAAATGAGAAATAACCCAGATTCTTTGCTGCTCAGCTATAAGCGGTTGGTCTCTGGTGGAATTTGTCACTTGAGAACTGAACCTGCTTGCTCTGGTTTGGCTTTCTCTTGTTGTTTTTTGCTGCTTGCTTTGGTGTGTGAGGATCTGGAGGACACAGCTGGAATTAAAACACACAAATAAGGCACAAATAGCAATAGCTGAGCTCAGGCAAAGGTGGTGGTTTCACCTCGTGTGGAAATCAAGAAGCACTTTCTGCTAAAAGGAGCATTTTCCAGTTGCTTCCAAGTTTGCTAAAGTGCAAGAACAAGGGCAGTGATTTCCCTGCTTGTTCTTGGTGTCTTTTTTCCAGCTTAGTAAAACTGCTTCAGCCATTTTTGAGGAGACAATTTATTCTCTTTTGACCCTTTCAGAAAGGCTGAGGCAACAAAACTCTGGTAGCTTGAAAGAGAAGAATAATTTTGCTTTTCCAACAGCAAGCTGTGAAAGCCTGAGAGCAGCCTGTTAAACTTCTCCAACCAGTAAAAATGTCCATGTTAGAGGGGTCAGAGTGAAAATAATCCATGGGAATGTAACCACGACTTCTCCGTAACACAACTGCTCTCAGCTGGCTGGTGAGAGAGGGTGGCAGAGGTGCATGGATCTTCCTTAGGAGAGTTCATGTCTAGGAAGTATCAGCATCGCCTTCCCTGTATTTTCTTCCTTCTATATCAATGTTCTGACAAGGTTTTCTTTGATTTCATACAACCAATACATACTTTGTGGCAAAACCCTTGCTTTTGGAGACAGGGCATCCCACTAGCCAAGGAAACAGCATCTCTGCACCCTGGAACTCTTTCATGCCCAAAGTTTGTAAGGTTGGGGCTTTTAATGACCTGTCATAATCCTCCACTGGTGATGCCCATGGGAAAGTCTCTTCCAAGTTCTTTTTGCTGCTTAAAATCCTTTAACCCAGTCGGTTCAGCTCCAAATTTTGAAATATCTGCAGGTAACTTCCAAAACCTTCTTGCACCCTTTGGAGACCAAGTTTTGTGCACAGAAGGATTTAGGTGGCCCAAGGGGGCTGGAGGCTTGACATAAACCTACCAGGGGCACATGTGGGGCTGTGGTGGGTTTGTACTCCCAGCAGGAGCTGAAGGAGGTGTTGGGATGGGGGAAGAGCCAATGGGAGGCACTTAGAGGGGTCTTGGGCACCCCAACCCCTGGTGACACTTGGGGTGGGAAGAGGTGGCAGTGAGCTGGGTGCATGTGCCACATTCTTACTTTTTTGTGCTTTTACACCATGAAAAGGTGAGAGACAGGGAAAAAATATCCTAAAGGATCTGGGATGAGGTCCAGAAGAGGAGCAAAGCAAGGGAAATCCAAGAGGCTGTGGAGATGTGGGGCTGGGATACAGCTTGTAGGCATGTAGGACACAGTGCAGCTTCATGGGCCACCTCAAAGTACCCTCTGGGCCACCTGAAGACCAATGGAGTGGATCTGAGCTGGGATGGGGTCTTTCCATGACCCCCTCTCCCCACTGAGCTCCAAAAGGGCCATTCAACCCTTCTCCTGGTGGACCACAAACTCCTGGTGTCACACTGTGGTCGTCACAGCAATGGAGGGGTAGGGGGAGGAGGGTGGGTTTGCTTTGGCTGGGTCTGGACAAGCTGGAATGGTGTGAACAACTGGCAGGGTGTGAGTTATATTTGCAAATCTGAAAGCAAACATGAGCTGTAGGTGATTTTTGTGGGAGAGGCAGCGATAACATTCCGAGGTTGCCATGGGCCCCAGGAACGGTTTGAGATAACGGAGAGTCAATGCCTGGGCAGATCAAACAAGTGTGAGCTGAAAGAAAGGGGGCAGAGGGGAGTGGTCACAAAGTCCCCTTCCTTCTCCTGGTTTGGGTAAACCACTGGAGATGTCCCAGTAGTCATGGGAGCCCTGTTGTCTGCTCCTTGGAAAGGAAGCTTGGCCTTGGCAAGAGCTGTGTCCTCACCAAGCACCTTCCCAGCATTTCCACGGGACATGGGAAACCCTCTGGCCCAAGCTTTCAACCACCAAGCTAGAGATCAATCCATCTTGGAGAGAGATTCCCATCCTTCAGCCACTCCTGGCTGGGGATATTTCCCAGAGGTGGCTGGAGAGGAGCATCAGGTTGTGGTAAAGATGCTTAGACTTGTCCTACAGCTTTCCATCACCCAACAACCTCTTGGGGTGTGCTCTGAGCCAACAGCTCAGATGATCCCAGGTGACCTTCTGTTATGTGGGAAAATGGGATGATGAATTTTTGCAAAGGGAAACATATTTTCCCCTGAGTGGTTCAGAAACAACCATTAAAAATAAGCTTAAAATCAGAATATTGGAGAGAGGCAGAGGAAATGGGGGTGCTGGGGAAGGGGTGGGATGGAAACAAGTTTGGGTTTTTTCTCCAGAACTTTGCTTCAACCAGCCAGTGAGGGAGGTGTTTGTGGGAGCTTTGACTTCCCACTGTTTCCAAGTGTGATGCTGAT